CTATTTTTTATTGCCAATTATTTTCCAAATACAACATTAGATGTTTAGAACATTCTTTATCTTTAAATAATTTATCCTTCCTAAAAATGGAAAATTCCCAATACTAGCATAAAGCATCATTGGTATAAGCCCTGTACTACATCTGTAAACAGAATTATCCTATAAGTAAAAAAGCATTAATTTTGAATCTCAGCACAGAGTAACCATCAAAATGAATTAAATCAAAAAATACAGATGCTACTAAATAAGGCAATATGTGTGTACGTATATCCTTAAGTTTACATTTTTAAAGAAGGAAAGTTCAATATAGAATATCAGCACATATGTATCATAACCAGGCTGAAAAAAAATTATTTTATTTTGTATTCTGGTATTTCATGTAATTTATTTTTGGTAGTCTAATTTTGCAGTTTTAACATGAAAAACTTGTGGTCAATTTTTAAGCTCTAAAAGAATGTTTTGTATAAAAATCCAGATTTTTCTGAGGCATTGTCAGAGTAACAGCATTAAAGAAATAGATTTTGGTCAAATAAATGATACAATACCATTTTGTGCATATATAGAAAGAATAGTGGACTGAGAAAAGCCAGGTGGTTCTGTCTCTATAACTATAAAATTAGTATTTTTAAATCATTTTTACTAATTAGTAGTGACATTTTTAAAGTCAATTTTCAGATTAATATTTTTCACTTTCTACTTTTATATATATTGCATTGAACTGTTTTTTAAAAGTTATAAGTAAGTCCTTTCTATGAATGATCCTAGGAAATAAGATAATAGGATAGTAAATGTCAATTAAAAACTGTGTTAGTTGTCTCAGCGACTCAGGAGACTGAAACAGGAGGATTAAGACTAACCTCAGCTAGTTGGCAGAGCTCTAAGCAATTTAATGAGACCCTGTCTCAAAATAAAAAATAAAAAGGGCTGGGGATGTGGTTTAGTGGTTAATCACCCATGGGTTCAATCCCCAGTACCAAAAAAAAAAAAAAGATCTGTGCCATTATCATGAAAACTATCATACTATCAGAGCTCTGATATTATTGCAACGAAGGAAAACACAGAGAAAAACAATTATTTCCACAGGTTTTTTTTTTCCGTGTCATGGGATCAAATTCAAAACTTTGAGTTGAGAATTCAAGGTCCTCTAAATCCTATCCCCTATCCATGATCTCAAATCTTAACCCCCACCCCCAATACTCATGAACAAAGTATTCAATTTATAACTCATCTTTCTGTCATCCATCTCAAATATCTTCTTACCTCTACATTATAATCCGCCCCACTTTTCCTCTGCTTCCTGTTTCTTTCTCTTATGCTTTCATGAATCCTTTCTCTCTCGAAGAGCAAATTTCTGGAAAAATTCTCTATGAAGCCATATTCAAATAAGACAACTTCAGTATACAAAACAGAATAAGATGTTTGCAGCAAAAATAACCAATATAACATTGGTGTCCTGAAAATGTATTAGTAATTGTTAAAAGAGAGGATAAGAATATTAGTTATGTTTAATGTGTATTCCCTGAAGCAGATGTATAGAAATGAATGCAGGCTATATAAACAGGAGGCAGTATATTCAGGAGGTGACCTTTGGAATTGCCTGTTGAGGGTGTCATTAGTCTGTTTGCTAGTATAGGTCTCTGGGCTTTGATCTCTTGGAACAGTGCAAACTCCCATGGAGTTGTCAAACATAGTGAGTGGGGGAGCCCAGTTATTATTGCTGTAATCAGTAGCTGCTATCTGCTTCTGAGGGGTTTTGATTCTCTGGGATTGTGAATGAGCATAGCAGATTCCAACAGCTGAAGACCAGCAGGGGATAAGGGGCTAGTACTCAGTGTGTGCTACAGTGAAAAGCCTGGGAGAGTGGGTGGGGCACCAGTAGAAAAAAAATGGACAAAACAAATAAACATGTTTTTCACAGAAAACATAAATTGCTCGTAAAATTATGAGATAAGATGTTGTGAATTAATCAGGGAAATAGTTATTATTATTGTTTTACATTTACAAAATTGACAAAGGCAAAGGTTAAGAAGGACATGGGGAGGAGAAGTTCTTGTTCAATAATGGTTGTGTTATAAATAGATGAAACTGCTTTGAATAAAATCTTGCTATATATAATGAGTTTAAATATTTTCTGTGACCCAGTGATGTCACTCTTAGGGATGTAACTTGGGTAAACCTCTTCTAAAGGTACACTAGAATATATGTTCAACAGTATTCACAGAAGTTAGTGTTTGTAATCACAAAGCAAAATTAGAAACAAGTGTAATGTTCATTAGAAGGAAAATAGTAAATAAATTGTGCCATCATAGCATAGTATGCTATGATGGCCATTTATATTAAAATGGATGAATTTGAAAAAAATCTAATGCTGATTTTAAATGTTTCTAGAAATGTACACAGTATGACTTGATTTATGTAATGTGAAGAAAAAAACATGCAAAACCACACAATGTTTCTTTTTTACATAATAAAATAGTTGTATAGTAAAGTTCTTAAAAAGCAAAATAATTAACATCATTTGGGAATTTGTGGAGCAAATCAGAAGATGTAATCAAGGAGTAGTACTCAGAGGGTATCTCCTCCCCTACACACTTCTTTTATTGGTGCATTATAATTGCACATACAGATGTGATTTGTTGTTACGTATTAATACATACACAAAATATAGCAATATAATTTGGACCATATCACCCCTAGAGCTGTCCCCATCCCTCTGCACCTCTCACCCTGGATTTCTTTTCTCTACTGATCTCTCTGATTTTCATGAGATTCACCTTTCTTTTCCTTTTCCTCTCTAGCTTTCACATGTGAGAGAAAACATACAACTCTTGACCTTCTGAGTTTGACATATTTCATTTAACATGATGATCTCTAGTTTCATCCATTTTCTTGCAAATGACATTTTTTTATGGCTGAATAAAATTTCATTCTGTATATATACCACATTTTCATTAACCATTCATCTGCTGATGGACACCGAGGCTAGTTCCGTAGTTTGGCTGTTGTGAAATATGCTGCTATAAACATGGGTGTGCATGTATCACTGTAGTATGATATCTTTACTTCTTCAGAATAAATGGCAGGGAGTGGTATAGCTGGGTCATATGGTGGTACCATGCCTAGCCTGTTGAGGAGCCTCTATACTGATTTCCATAGTGGTTGTACTAATTTACAGTCCCATCTACAGTGTAAAAGTATTCTTTTTCTCCACATCCTCTCCAGCATTTATGGTTATTTGTATTCTTGATGACTGACATTCTGACTTGAGATGAATCTCAGGGTAGTTTTGATTTGCATTTCCCTAATTGCTAATGATGTTGAACATTTTTTCATATATTTGTTGGCCATTTTTAGTTCTTCTTTAAGAAGTGCCTGTTTAATTCATTTGCCCACTCATTAATTTGGTTATTTGATTTTGGGGTGTTAAGTTTTTTGAGGGTTTTTTTTGTTTGTTTTGTTTTTTTTTTTTTGTATTTGGGATATTAATCCTCTGTCAGAAGAGTAGCTAGCAAAGATTTTCTCCCATTCTGTAGGTTCTCTCTTCACATTCCTAATTGTCACCTTTTCTTGCAGAAGCTTTTTAATTTGATGCCATCCCATTTACTCACTCTTTGTATTATTTTCTGAGCTTTCAGGGTCTTATTGAGGAAGTCATTGCCTGCTCCTTTTGTGCTGCAGTGTTGAAACCCAGAGTATCTCTATTTTTCATTCTAATATATACATGCATATGTTCAGTTATGTATAGAAAATGTTTCATAACAAAGATTGAGCAGAAGAAGGGAAATCATGAAATGAAACTCAGATACAATGTCCCAGGAGTAGGAGAATCAGGAAAACTGTTGTGCTAGGAAGCAAATAAGGCGAGAGCAGTCAACGATGGCAACTGTTGCTAGGCTGTGTGGGGTACAGAACAAAATGAAGCTAATGGAATTGGGACTTAAGAGGTCATCGGAGCCTTTGATGAGGGACAGGTTTAGTAATAGAGTTGGGGTACATGCCAATAAATAATGGTTTGAGGAGTAGTGAAAAGCAATGAACACCAGCAGCTCTTTAAACAATTTTGGCAGAAAATCTAAGGAAGGAGATAGGTAATAATTTGAGCAGAAGGCAAATTTGAATGCTATTTAGATGTATTTTATGAAAGAACATACTCTGGACTAAACTGCAGATATGTAATAAAATTGCTTAAATAGAAATTTACTTACAGGAAACAATTCAATATTGTTCCAAAAAAACAAATTCTCCTGGAAAATCTTTAATCTTTTCTAGTGAAGAAGATATAATGTTTTAAATAATTACCTCATTTTGTTTCTAAAATTTCCCCCAAAAAATATTTTATTAATTTTGAATGCCTCTTATACCCTCTGTGGTTCTTGTTTAATTGCCTTTCAATATTCTTTCTCATTTTTAACAAACATGAATTAGATTAAACTGAATCATAATATGTAAGCACGTTGGGCCTACATTAAAGAAATTGTTAGTGAAGCTGTCGGCATATTCCTTCTTTTTTCAGACTGGGTAACTTTCTTCATCTTGGTAACAAATTATAGACAAATTTTAATGATTAAATGAAATCATCAAATATATTCCATATTCTTGCCTGACTATATACATGAATGTTCTATTGAGAAAGTAATGCTAATCTTAAAATTGAAAAGAAAACATGACATACAATTTGAGAGTTCCATTAAAAAAAAATATGTCTTGACTGGTGTGCATGAAGTTAGGCCAGCTGTAGGAGATGCTGTCACTAACTTTAGCAGTGACATAAATCTCAGTATAGGAGAGCAGCATGGAAGTGGGTGAATGCCATTTATTTTAATAACAGACAAAATTTTCAAACTGTAACAACATGCTCAATAAATTCTTCCATTACTGTGATACCAAAGGAGAGTTGGAAAATGTATTACATATCTATTTTTTCTTTTCAGAGATATATATTTTTGTTCTGTTTCTATAGCAACACTGATGCAGTGACTAAAACTTTAACTCCCTTTTAGACTCCCTGATGGCTTCACTCAGCTTCTAAACCTGACCCAGCTCTACCTGAATGACGCCTTTCTTGAGTTTCTTCCAGCCAATTTTGGAAGGTAAGACTAAGAAATATGAATTATGCAATTTTATTTCATATTCACTAAGTGCTTTCTGAGCTCCAGCAGATGAGATTTCAAAAGTGACAGTTGTGATTAAAGATAGAGCTCATTATTATACAATAAATAAGACTTAATTAATGAAACTTTCTGAAAAAATAAAATTAGGTCTTCACATAGCATTAATAATCAAATAAATTCTAGATAAATTAGGGAGTTAAAAATAAAGTCAAAGAGAATCTAGAAAAACAATGCAGATGAATATTTATCACTCTTGGGTTATGAAATACCTTTACAGGTACAGAAGTAAAAGAAAATATCATAAGTGGGATAGATAGATTTGACCAATTACTTTTAAAATAAAATAAACCAGAAAGCCAAAATTTAAGGAAAATAATGAAGTAGGAAAGTATTTTCATATTTTTAAAATTATTTATTCCTTAATATATAAATAATTCTTACAAATGAATATGAAGAGAAAGTTCTTGAGGGAAAATGGGTAATTGCCAGGCACAAGCCATTCATAATAAACATACAAATGACAATTGAACATATGAAAAATGCATATTTTCACAATTAATAAATATAATACAAATTAAAATGTCCTAGTATATTGCAAAAACTTTCTTGAGTATGAGGAGAGAGATAACCTCACGCTTTGCTCATGGAACTGGGAGACTGTTATACTTCATGTGGGGCAGCAGGCTTTAAAAGCTTTGAAAATATTTACAACAATTGCCTTTGTAATTCATTTCTAGAAGTCTCTTATACCACCATCAGATATCACACTAGGATTTACGGACAAGTATATTTATCATTACTGACAAAATGAAAACAGGGGATCACACATCTGTCTGAGATTGGCTAGATATATTATGGTTTATCCCAATGATAATACTATGTAGCAATTAGTAATCTCACTTTAGGAAAACATTTTTCAAAAGTCCCTACAATAGATCTAGGAGTGTATTATAACAAAAATATATAAACTAATTTTCCACTGTGAATATGCATGAAATAAGGGGCTGGTTACTCTGAAGTGAAATTTTTGGTAACTTCAATTTTCATTTACATATTTTTAAAAATATTTTCCAGGTGCTCTGCAATGAATTTTTATGTAAAAGATATATCTTAAGAGTCAAAACATTTTCATTGTCAACTGCATTTTTCCAAATAATTACCTTTGAAATTGTTCAAACAATAGGTCAAGCATAATTGAATACCTATATGTTGACAGAAGCAGGTTGTTGACCTTAAGATCTCAGTGTAATGATGAAGTCACTCAACCTGCAGAATCCTCCATTCACATACAGAGAGCACAGAAGCGATTCCCAGACTCCTTCACTTTTGTGAATCACAATATTACAACAGCTGCAAGCACCATGTACTTGGGCAGGGTTTAAAACTCACAGATTTTTTAAAAATCGTTTGCTTGGCTTCTAAGTGTGAATTGGAACATCACCATCTATCCATATAAACTAGAATTGCCCTTCTGGTACTGATTACAACACTACAATATGCTTTTGAATTACCAAATCATAAAATATTTAATTATCACCCTAAGACAATTTTTCTCTCGAATATTTGTCAGTTCTCTTTTGTCCTAAAGTGAGGACAAGATACAGGCGAATAGAAAATACAATACTAATACCAAAACTAGAATTAGGATTTAAGTTTTGTGTAAATTCTGTGTCAAAATATACTATTTCATTATTATAATTTAAAGTTTTTAAAAATCATCTGAGTATGGGGCTGGAGTTATGGCTCAGTGGTAGAGCACTTGTCTAGCATATATAAGGCACTGGGTTCAAGCCTCAGCACCACAAGTAAATAAATGAATAAAATAAAGGTCCATCAACATTTAAAAAAATTAAAAATAAATAAAATTATCTGAGTAGTTTAACAAAAGGAAGCTTAAGTTCCCTTTTAAAACCTAATATTCTGCACTCCTAAAAGCCAAAATCAGTCCCATAATATCATCATACTAGTGGAATTGTCTAAAAGATTTGAAGTACATAAATGTGTAAGAAACATTTTTATTGGTGATATACCCATTATCTGACAAACTGCATTACTATATTCCATTTTGAGATTGATTTGTGCAACTAAAATTAAATTAGAAACTTAATAGGAGGCAAGACAAACAGGGAAAGGAAAAGAGACCTAAAAAAGAGTACCTAAAAGTATAATAAATACAGGTTGATATCTGTGAAATAGTTCAAATAGTGAAATATTCCTAGAGTAGAAAGAATTAAGAGAATTCAATTAATACCTGTTTCAAAGTAACCCCATCGAGTACCCTTTAAGCTCAGTATGAACATGAATAGTAATAGTGTGTTCCAGACTGCAGACCTTAACAAGCAAGATGCATTCCTAATCACAACCATCACCCCAGCAACAGGAGCTATGAACACCTCTCAGCCTCTTCACATGATTTCTCCAACCCCAGCATTGTCTTAGGGGTTGACAACACAGATTTTGAAATGAATGCCCCTCTGGAAATGTTAAAATGTGTACCTTAGCATCAGTAAAATATGGTATGCTATAGCATTTTCTCATCTTTCCATTGTGTAATTAATGAAATAAGCAATTATTAATATTTTTAAAACCTCTACTAGGAATTATGCTTCGCATGTATTATATCATTTAATGTTTTAAACCCCATGAATTTGATACTATTATCACACACTTGTAGATGAAGAAACTGAACTCAGAAGGCATTAATTAATTTGCAATGTCACAGAGGCGGAATATGAAAAACTGTAACTTTGCTCAGATCTGTTTTACTGCAAAACCCAAGTTGTTGGTTTGTTTATTTGTTTTGTTTTGTTTTGTTTTTGCTTATTATTTTTGATCTATGTCATTTTCTTTTCAAGTCCATTTATGGTCTCGTGGGGAAATGAATTGCTATATTCCAGTGAATACAGCACCTAGTATTTAGTATGTATTCAAATCTCTCTTCAATTCATGAGATTAAATATAACACTCAGTATGTTTTTATAAAACATTAGAAATTTAGAACACTGGGATTCAAAGATATCTTTGGAATATCTTTACTTTTAGAAAAGTGATTTGCCATTGATCAATGTTGATGTGATCTTATTCATCATCAATTTACATATCTCTTCAAAATCTGGAACCATAGTAAAAAATATTTCAACATAGCTATTTGCATAATAATAATAATAACTGATGTTCCATTATAGTAACTTTTTATTCTGAAAGAGTAAAAACAATTTTTTTTTCTATAGGCTTGTCAAATTGCGAATCTTGGAGCTAAGAGAAAATCACTTGAAAACTCTACCAAAGTAAGTTACTGTGTATTTTCTAAATTTTGAATTGTGATTTTGGGCTACAAGGGAAAATAGCTACTTGTTTTTATTTAGGTTGTTTTACCATTATTCTACAAATTCTTCCTTGTCTGCTTTTTTCTTCCTTTCCTTGGTAAGAAGGAGAAAGTATGAATATTTTTATTCTTCCTGTACAGTACTACTGTATGAGATTTATATTAAATAAGAATGTATAGTGTCTTATAAAATGTTATCATTACAAGTAAAGATGGGAAGAGTCCATTTAAGGTTCTCATGGCAAAAAAAAAAAAAAAAAAAAAACCACTAGCCAAAAAATTATTGCACTAAAACCTATGAAACTGTCATTTTTATATCTGAAAAATGACAGTTTCACAAGGTTTAATTTAAAAGAATGCTTACTTCTGCAAGTTAATTTATGAGTTGTGATATTTTTCAGTTTTTAAATCAAGACTATGCCAGAAATTTTTAGAAAAAAGTTGAAAATTTCTTAAGAAATCTAAAGTGTTTTAGCAAAAATGAAAAAGTTATATATTCTTGAAATTTTTTCCTTTTTACTAGTGTATTTAAAATTTGTTTTATGTAACTATACAGGATATTAAAGTGAGAACTAGTATCCAGTATCTAACACAGTGTTTAATTTAATAAAATGCATTGTTTCACCTTGCTTTCCTTTATTCATGTCTAACAATAGAATTTTGTGTTGTATAGTCATAATTATTTTTGAAAATCAAAAATTATTTATGATAAATAAATATGACATACGTTATGATTAGAATAGGTACTATATTGCTATTATTACCTTCTTTTAGAATTACAGAAAAATCTTAAGAATAGTGATTGATTTTCTTTTCAACGGGACTTAGACACATTCCTCTGCTGAACCAAAACCATCTTATTTTTTCCCCTAAGCAAACTATACTGAATTTCATTGTTTCTAAAAATCAATATTTCAATAACGCATCTTCAAGTTCAGAGCGTGATATGATTTATGAAAATTTAGTTCTTGCAAAATAGTCACTTAATTATGAAAACTTTTGAAAATGATATGGAATTCATTTAAATATATATGTAGAGGATGCATCTGTGCATTCCTCCATAAGAAGAAGGTACAGAGAGGAGGAAACTGCTCTGTATCTCAATACCTGGCACTTTTGAGTAATGCAATTTTCTAAGGCAGAGCATCATGCCTGGGTCTAATTCAAGACACTTTACCCGGGTTGGAAGATATGTTAGTTTTGCATTATTGTGAAAAATGCCAAAGATAAACAACCTAAAAGGAGGAAATTTAAAGTGGAAACATGGCTAAGTGGAAGCTAAACCAAAATGAAGGAACATTTGTTCTTTTCAACTAAATATATACATTTAGTTGAAGGATAAAATACTGAGTATGGAGGAGAGTCTACACTGCTCTCAAGAAAAGGCCTTGATTTCAAATATAAAATAAACCTGGCATAAGTTGTCAGATATTTTTAATAAATATTTTTTAAAATATCCTTCATTGGTCTTTGTGTAAGAATATCTCAGGGTCAAGGAATCTGGGAGAGGCTGGATGTAGATAATACTGTCTCACAATCTTACAGTCCAGCTGTGATTCTGTCATCTAATTTGCTTCGAATCTCACTCAAGCATTGTTTGGCACATGTGTTTTTCAGTTATCATAGGGTAGAGGCTTTAGTTCTGGGCTTTGCCCATGGACTTTTCTATAGGGCTATTCTCAGTTTGGGATCTTGTTTCTCCCAGAGCAGATGACAACAGAAAGAGAATCCAAGACAGAGCCTTGGTCCTTTTACAGTCTGATCTCAGAAGTGACACACCATGACTTCTGCCATATGTTGTTTGTCCAGAGATTAGATCTGGCATAGTGTGCAGAATTGCATGAATGTGAATTCCTGGAGGCGGGGTTGGTTGGGGCCATTGTAGAAGTTCCTACCATGTCTGGTGCTTATGTCTCTGGTCTGGAAATTCAATTTGGGCAGTACACCAGATATATCAGATATACAAAGAGGACTCATAAGTCAAGTTCATGATGAATTTTCATCTTAGCACAGTATTTCCTCTTTACCAGAACTCTTCAGTTGTGCTGATGTTCCTCCTGAAAAAAACAAACAAACAAAAAACGAATTTGTTCCCATTATAAAGCCTTTACAATGGTTGCTTCTCTATCTAGAGTTCTCTTCATGGTAGTTCTTCCTTAGGATTCATGTTTTTCTTTAGAGGTTGCCTCCTCAGAGGCCTTCCCCAATCATGTCATATAAAATTGTGTCCTCAGTCTTTATACCATTTCACTATTCCTTTTGATTTTCTTCACAATATTTATTATTCTCTGAATTATGCTGACTCTTTGTTTATTTGGAGATTACCTCCTCAGAAAAATATCAGCTCCATTAAAAAGAGACTTATTTTCTGTGTTGTCACTGCTGAATCTGCAGTGCTGGGAACATTGTAGGCACTCAGTAAACTGAGCAAAGTGCTGATGAATTGATTCACAGTGAAAGTGTTCCTGTGACCTGGATAGTTTGTGTCACTTAATTATTTTACTCCTTGGAAAAGTGTATGGGAAATGGAATATATCAAATGAGTCTTTGGTGAATATAATGAAATCAAATAAGGACAAGTAATTGGAGGGTCTCAATGGTCCATACTGACATTTGAATTTTAAACAACCTCCTCCTTCTCCTCCTCTCCCTCCCCCTCCTCCTCCTCCTCCCCCTCCTCCTCCTCTTCCTCCTCATCCTCTCTTCCTCCTTCTCCTCCTCTTTCTCCTCCTTCTTCCCCCCCCCCTCTCTCTCTCTCTCTCTTCCAATTTAGACAGTATTTAATTCATGATAAGGGAAGAAAATAACTTGAAATTAATAAAACAATATTTATAATGTTAAAGGAAATCCAAAAGCATTGTAACATATTTACTTGCTTATTTATTAGAATGAGACACATTAAGTTGAGACAAGAGTGAAGAACTAAGAATGATTTTTAAAAATAAAATCTAGGAACAATTTCCACAAAATTAACAAAAAATCATATAAATGGTTAGTAATGGTGGTAGATTTATCTTTCAATAAAACCATTCCACATTTGTGAGAAGAATTTTTCTATTATCTTGAAGTTAAAATAGGGCTATAACTATTTATTAAGGCTATAACTAACTTTGTTTCAACTCGAACTAACATGTATTATGTAAATGCACAAGTTAGAGTTGTGAAAATATGAAGTAATATGAAGAAAGAGATACAAAGATTAGGTTAATATTAATGTTCATATTTTCCCACCTGTAATGTACCAAGGAGTGAAGCATATTTCAGTCTGCTATTATAAAACACTAAGAGGAATGTTTAAAATATGCTCCAGCAAGGTTACTTGGCCCATATCAGTAAATGGAGTAAAGCCCGATGAACATATCTAAAATGGAAAAAAAAATCCAATGACTTTGATAGATAAGAAACATTTGGGGTTATAGAAAAGACAATACAAAGTGGAGCGAGAAGTCAGAGGCAGTGGCAACCTCTTTGGGGTCAAGGACCATTATGAGAATCTAAAATAAAGCTATAGACTCTGAAAAAATGTTAATTTTGAAATTCCATTCTCTTTCCAATATTTTCATGGTCCATTGTTAACTTTCATATTTATATTTTCACGTAGAAGTAAAATATTTGCCTTTTTTGTAAAAGGGATCATTTTAACATTCTGTTACTAATATAGTCACTCAAGAAGAGAAGATTTTGTTGAGCAAATTTTCCTTTGGGTTGTTAATAGGATTATATTTTATTATTGTCTAATGAAATCTTGAACTTTCCTTAGTAATAAATAATTTAAAGAAAATTTGAAGAAATTGTCTTTTGAGTTGTTAATAGGACTACATTTTATTATCAATGAAGTTCTGGAGTTTCCTTAGTAAAAAATCACTATGGAATAATTTAAGGGACATTTTCCCAAGTACAATCATAAATGATAATTTGAAACTACTAAACAATGTAGATACCTACTAAATGATGTGTTTATTATTTATACGATTTTATTTCTTAGGCATCATTTCTCTTATTAAGTGACATTCCCCCTGAAAATAGATTCAGAAACTTTCCAATTTGTGAACACCTAGGAATCCTTGGCCAGCTGACAGAACTTTGGTGGGTCTGAGGATTAGACGGAGGCAATGTCTTACTGTTAACTTCCTGATTTGGATGGTTGTATTTTGGATGCATAGGAGAATGTGTTTATTTTTAGGAAACACACATTGCAATATTGGAAAATGATGTGGTACCCTTAAAAATTTATTCTCAAAGTCATTCTTCAAAGAATAACTTCTATAATATTTTGAACTTTTGTGTAATTTTATAATTTCTAACAAAATTTTTTATCTATTTTATTATTAGTTATCATTATCAATATAATTAAGTAAAGTTCATAAATTAATATGGATTATTAACTGGACAGATATGACTCATTTTCTGCTCTCACTTCAGTGTCCTAGGAATGAATTTATCTTATTTGGCATTATAGTACTATTTCTAGTTATTTCAATGAAATATATCAATAGGTTCCTTACTGCTATTGTAACAAAAATTTCATTATCAGGCACAGCTCACTGAATGACTTTTCAATGTTGCTATTCACTCTGATTTTGTAATTCTGTATTGTAACTGTAATACATAATATGTGTTTTTACAATTATATTACCTTGTGCTTTGACCAATGTGTATCAAGTTACAAGTCATGGTATTTTTGCTGAACTAATAGCACTATCCCATTCTGGGTTGTGTTTATCAAACTGACAATACAACAACCTAACTAATCAAGGGTGACCATATTAGTGCTCTCTGGGTTTATAGAATTGTGCATGGAATTAGTTATTTTCACCATACCTTCTAACTTGATGCTTTATTTTTCACTTCAAGTAAATGAGCAATATTATGACATCTACATTTAAAAGTATAATGCTTTATAATGATGTAATTATTAGAATCTCTTCTAAACTATCAAATTATGCTTTCCATAGAGTCACA